AAGAATCCACCTGTCAGTGCTGGGATGATCCCTGATCCAGGTTTGATCCCTGGTCTGGGAAGATCCCACATGCCACAGAGCAACTAACCCCTTGTGCCCAACTATTGAGCCCATGTACCACAACTACTAAAGCCCGTGCGTCCTAGAGCCCATGTGCCTCAACTACTGAGCCCATGCACCACAACTACGGAAGCCCACGCACTCTAGGGTCCACGTGCCGCAACTACTGAGCCCATGTGCTGCAACTACTGAAGGCCATGCTCCTAGAGCCCGTGCTCCACAACAAGAAAAGCCACTGCAATGAGAAGCCTGTGCACCACAATGAAGAGTAGCCCCCACTTGCCACAACTAGAGAAAGCCCACGCACAGCAGTGAAGACCCAACGCAGCCAAAAAGAAAAAAAAAAATTTTTAATAAAATTAAATTAAAAACCTTTTTTCTTTTCAGTTGCACCAGGTCTTAGTTGCAGCAGGCAGGCTCCTTAGTTGCGGCTCGCGGGCTCCTTAGTTGTGGCTTGTGGGCTCCTTCGTTGTGGCACATGTGGCCCTTAGTTGAGGCTGATGGGCTCCTTAGTTGCAGCTTGGGGGCTACTTAGTTGTGGCATGAGTGTGGGATCTAGTTCCCTGACCAGGGATCAAACCCATGTTCCCTGCATTGGGAGGTGGATTCTTAACCACTGTACCACCAAGGGAAGTCCCCCCAGTTTATAAAATTGAAGGCAATTTGCAGAGTGATTTTCCTGATTCCCAGGCTCAGATCAGTCTGAAATATAAAGCCTCTTAAAATTTTAATAGATATGTCTTTTTCCCCCAATATCATTAAGGTATAATTGGCATATAATAAACTGCACATGATAGAAGAGTACAATTTGAGAAGTTTTGACACATGTATACACCTATGTAACCATCACTATAATTAAGAAAATGAATATATCTATCACCCCAAAAAGTTTCCTCCTGCCCCTAAGTAATACCACCCTCCCACTCATCTCTACCCTGGCACCTTTTCGTCTCCAGCCCAAGAAACCACTGACCTTTGTGTCACTATAGTTTGGATTCTCTAGAATTTTATATCAATGGAATCACACAGCATGAATTGTTTTTTAGTCTGGTTTCTTTCACTCAGAATAATTACTTTGAGATTCACCCATGTTGTTGAGTATATCAGTTGCTCATTGCTTGTTATTCCTGAGGAGTATGCCATTATGTGGATAAACCATAGTTTGTTTTCCATTCACCTGTTGAAGGACATTTGGGTTGTTTCCAGTTTGGGCCTATTACAAATAATGCTGCTATGAATTCATGTATAAGTCTTTGTGGGTAAATACCTAGGAGTGGAATGGCTGGATCATATGGTAGGTGTATGTAGCTCTTTTAAAAATGGCCAAACTTTTCCCCAAAAAAGTTGTATCATTTTACATTCCCAACATGCAGTATATGAGAATTCCAGTTGTTCCACATCCTTGTCAACACTTTATATGATCAGTCTTTTTAATTTTAGCCATTCTAATAACTAGGGTGTGCAGTGATATCTCATTGTACTTCTAATTTGCATTTCCCTAATGATAATAATGTTGAGCATCTTTTTGTGTGCTTATTTTGTCATCCATATATTTTCTTTGGTGAAGTGCCTATTTAAATATTTTGTCCACTTAAAAAAGTTGGTTGTCTTCTTACAATTCATTGTAACATTTCTTTATATATTCTAGTTAGAAGTCCTTTGTCAAATATATGTTTTGCAAATACTTTCTTCCAGTCTGGGGCTCACCTTTTCATTTTCTTAAGTGTGTTTTGAAAAGCAGAAGTTTTAATTTTGAGGAAGTGAAACTTATTACATGTAATTTTTTTCCTTTTATGGATTGTGCTTTTTGTGCCGTTTTCTTAATCTTTGCCAAATCCAAGGTCACTAAGATTTTTCTCCTATGTTCTCTTCTATAAGGTTTATAATTTTAGCACTTAAATTTAGATTTATGATCCATTTTTAGTTAATTTTTGCATATGATATGAGGACAGGATCAAGATTCTTTTTATTTTTATTTTTAGCATATGCTATCCAGTTGTTCCAGCATCATTTGTTGAAAAGATTATCCTTCCCCCATTGAACTGCTTTGGCATATTTCTTGAAAATCAATTGACCATATTTGTGTAGGTCTGTCTCTGCACTCTATTCTGTTACATTGCTCTATTTGCCTGTCTTTACACCAGTACCACACTGTGTTGATTACTGTGTCTCTTATAAAGTCTTGAAGTCCGGTAGTCTAAGTCCCTCAATTTTGTTTTTCTTGATCAAAGTTTGGGCTACTCTAGGTAGCATTTTCATAGAAATTTTAGAATCAGCTTGGTAATTCCCACAAAATGAACCTGCTATGATTTTTATTGGACTTGCCCTAAGTCTATAGATCAATTCAGAGAAAAATGACATTTTAAAACGATTGAATCTTCTGATCCATGAACATGATATATCTCTGTATTTAGATCATTAATTTCTCTCACAATATTTCAGAGTTTTCAATTTATATGTCTTTCACATTTTGGTCAAATGTATCCCTAAGTTTGTGTATGTGTGTGTTTGTTTTGGGGTTTTTTTGCTGCTAAATGGTATTTAAAACATTTCAAAGTCTATTTTTTCATTGTTACTACAGAGAAATAAACTGATTTTTTTTTTTTTTTTTTTTTTTTTTTG